GAAAACACAACCATTGCTTGTTTTACAAATTAGAGCTTTATTAGTAACAACTGATTTGTGATAATTTATTATAAGTTGGCCCCTCAAATTGTCTTCATTGTGTTATTACTCTTGTTCTCTGAATTAATGATAGCAAGAGAGTTCCATGTATCGTAGCTCATCGTAAATTTAAACCAGCTCTAGAAATAAAAAGGCTCATGGAAGTTGGAAAATAAGAATGGAATTGGATGGTTCAGACTTTTTAAGTTTTGTTTCTGATGAAAGGGATTGACTTAAACAAGAAAAGAATGAATCGCATGATGCTAGACTTAGGCAAAGGAAACTTGATCATGAGGCTAAAGAGGAGTATCAATTGGCAAATTGATAATTTCTATAATAATTATCATTATTAGTGGAGTCAAATATCATTTATTAGCTTGAGAAAATAATGTAGACACTCTTTCAGCCTTGTTTGTTTACTTTTTCTTAGATTCCCAAGTTGTAGGTTTGAAAATATAATCTTTGAATTTTGATTCAACTTGTTTCTGTACTTTTTTGACAATCCATATTCCCACTTTTTAAATTAACAATTCTTATTAATCTTGTTTCATACGTTTTTGATGTCCATTTATGGGGAATAAATTTTAAGCTACATATGTACATATGCATTCAGTTGAATGTTACATGTTTTTGCATTGGCTTTTTTCCACCCAACCACCACACTGAACTTAATCAAAATAAATAACAAATGTACAACAAAGAACAAACACATGTACTGGTATGAAATTACAACAAACACAATGTAAAATTGTTCTCAAAGGACCATCTTGAAGGCAAAAATTGTATCATCACAGATTTAATGACTGGCTTCCATCAATGTCACAGTGTAATGTAACAAAAGACAAATAGCAACAAAATAACTTCATCAGAACAGAATAATGTTTCTTCTAAGATAATACAACACATTAATGCAATGTAAACAGACTCAGTAACATGCTTACCTTGTTAGATCCACATGACACACACGTATGTTCTTCAACAGCCTGCTATACACAAGTGTTTAATAGACTAAGGTGACACTAATAATACATGCAAAACAAACAATAGCAGTGCATTTAGCGTAAGTCACCAACTATAGAAAACAGTTACAACCACTGTCTTAATACCAGCTATATAAAAATAGCAACAGCTACATGAAATAGTGCTATATGAAGTGGTAATAAATACTTAATACCCACTTACAATTTCAGGTAATTATAAGAAACGGTGGAAAGAATCACCACCATTGTTTGAGAATGGAAAGCTACTATGGTAATCTTCCACTGTTAAAAACTTCCTGAAATATAATTGCAGAAATCCATGTGGAGACAGCAAACTCGAGTAACAATGAACAATAGTGACTCGAGTAATGATATGCAACAGCAAAATCAGGAACCTTTCACATAGCAGCTTACAATTAATGCATTAGAAAATGCACGAGTTGTAGTTTCCAACTAATGCACATGCTAGGAAAACACCAGATTTTTTGAAGTCAGAAAGTGAAGGACTTAGATAATTTTCCAGTATGACAAAATTAAGAAGATCAAATTAAGTTTAAAAGTACTCCCTCAATTTTTGGCAAAATTCCTGTGCACTCCCACACTACAGTAGATACCATTTGCAATGATTTTACACTGGAGTAATAATAGGGATTTGTAGCTTCAGCAAGCTGTCAGCAGTATATCTCCAGCCTTATTTGCTTACTTATATATATATATATATATATATATATAGACTTTGTTAATGCACAGCAGTGGGCAAATATATGCCTAGAGTAAGAAACAATCCCCACTGGGTGTGTGTATAAGATTTTACCAGTAGAAAAGCAGCCTTTCATATGAAACAAATATCTCTAAAACATTGACTGAAATAAAGCTTTGTGTCTTTAATATTAATTATTTACTGAGCTTTCTGCCTGAGGTTTCATATAAACACACATTTAACATGCATCAAGTATAAAGACAGCCACTCATAACAGCATCACATCTATTATGTAGTTATAACCATGTAAATCAACGTTCAATGAAAGATAATCAACTTTTAAATAGGTTACAGACATTCACAGTGTTTCATATAGTATAGCAGTCTAGGTTTGGTGCAAAATACCCAGCCAATTTTGCTGTAGGCTTGTGAAACGATGATATTAACAATAATAATAGTATAATTAAATGGGCAATTTTTTATTTTGTCTAACAACCATGAAGTCACTTATTTTGTTTATTATCAATGTTTGGGTGGTCTTAACTACTGAAAAGGAAGGATTTGAGTGTTGTATTAAGAACAAGTCTGCTTTTTTAAGGTGTTTTTGTCCAAATGTTGTATTAGAGTTTTAAGAAAATTTCTGTGTGATCCCTATTGTGAACACAGTTCAGGATGATGAATAAAGAAATAGACAAATAAAAACATTAAAAACAGTTACATAGTCAAGTCAGGTTATCCACTCAATCTAGAACTATTGTGCTTTATCCAGCCTTTCTTCACTCAGTGGCCACTGATATCTGTCTACCTTCTACTTATTGATGTCATTGACTCATCAAGTGACATCAACAACTGCACACTTTATCATTGTTGCACTGATTGATTTTCTCTCTGCTTTCTCAGCTGGATTAAGGAGACATACATTACTCATGTCAAAAACAACATTCTAGCTCCTCTTAACTCAAAATAATCCCAGAGGCTAACTCATACTCAAATATCATATCAGGATTCTACAACTTCCCACGTAAGGAAGGAAGTTTCTGACCACCCTAGGTTATCTTTCAGACCACAAGTTCCTTTCAGATAACAAAGAGCTAAAACCTAAACAGCTGCCAAGATTTGTTGTTCAAAATTCCTCAGTTGCATTACCCTCTGTTATACCTTTTGCAGGGAAGAGAGTGAGTTACAGAAAAAAAGGAAAAAGGTGTGGCAGAGCCACACACTGCTGTACGGTAGAGTAGGGGTTTGAGAGGAAGAGCACCCTCTCTCAGGAAAGTCTGGGAACTTCTCCCATGAAAAGCATTTTGAAAAATAAAGGTCTCCTCTGTACAAATTGAAGCTCCATTGCAGCACTGTTTGTTTGTTTGGAATTAAGCACAAAGATACACAATGGGCTATCTGTGCTCTGCCCACCATGGGTATCGAAACCCGGATTCTAGCGTTATAAGTCCAAAGACATACTGCTTCGTTGGAGAATTTGAAACATCAGTACAAATTGCAATTAGAGTATTTGACAAGGCATGGCCCCATAGTATGCCTCCCTCAACTTCTCGTACATATGGGGCACCAAATATCATTGGAGCATAAGAAAATCATCCTATCACTGCCCACAAATCCAGCAAATTCATGGAGCCAAATCACTTTTAATCAAACGATTAACTGACAAATTGAAGAGATGTTGTAATTAAAGTCATCTAGATCAATGTTTACATGACAATTTGAAAGAATTGAGACTGTTTACCACAGTTATATCAAGTGAGTGAAATAAAAATTGAAAGGCCATGTTTTAATGTGATCTTGAGGTTAAATAGCTGGTGCACAAGATGAAATAATGTGGTAGACAATGGAAAAATGTTCCATAAGATCAAATTTCAATATTATTAGCAATGGATGGCTCTTAAAACAGTCCACATTGAATTGATTATTTTTTTTAAAATACCTCTCTCAGTCTCTTGACTTGTCCTGGCTCACGCACGTCTTTCACTGCCCCTGGCGACAACTAACAAAGCTTCCTATTGAACAAAAGACTACTCTTGGTGCATGTTCATTCAATCACAACACATATTCTAAATTTTCCTTGGGTGAATTGTTTACAGCCAGATGAAGTACAGGTGGATAATGAAAACAAATAATGATTGAATCACAGAAATGATGTTTTTCACTGTGAAAAAAAATGAACAAGTCTCATCCCTGCTTTTGGTTAACTATATATATGACAAGTTTACACAATTTGTCCTGACAAAATAATGTAAATCACAATCCACCCTGACAAAGATAGCTACTAGCTACATATTGCTTTTTATTTATTTATCATGGCAAAGTTACTTGTTGTGTAATATACTGGCATACTATGTGCTTCCTATCCCCCCCCCCCTTATATAATGCTGTGTGTACAGTGGGGGAGGGGGGTTGAAGTGCACTTGTGACCTTTTTACAGAGTTACATTCAAAATTTAATCAAACAAGTTTATTACTAATGTAAGTCAATAAACTTTATAATTCAAATCTTAATACTATATAAGCTTTAAATTCTTAATTTCAAAAGAAAGTATTAAATACATTCTTAGCCTTTACTTCTGTGTATCACATGATACTTCACTTTCCATTACCAATTTTAGATTTTCTTTATACCCCTACATGAATTTCTGAGTTTGGCACAAATTACACACTTTAATGCTTATTCTAAGCCATAGTTTAAATTACAGCCTCTAAGCTTTTTGCTTTACTGAAATATAAAAAAGAAAATCAAACCCACATTTTAGTAAAATTTACAAATCTGTTGCACACAAAAAAATCAGATGAGTTACAAAGATATTTATATCTGGGGTGTAAGGTGATGTTTATGTAAAGAATAAAGAGAATATTTTCCATTTTATAATTTGCATATTGTATTTGCACAACCTCTAGAACATCTGAAATGCATATCCTCAGTTTTTTTTTAGTATCCCTGTATATTGTATGTTGTATTTCACTCTCCTCTACCAAGAACTGTCACTAAAACAGAAACATACGGTAAAATGTACAGGTGATAATTCTGATATTAAATACATAACACCATGCACATAGGTTTAAAAGTGAATATGCATATGGATTTTTTAAAAGTTAATTTCATTATAAAGCCACATAGGCAATATAAAACAAAGTAAAAAAAAAACAACATAATACTGCATAATTCATCAACATAGACAACTCTATTTTACCATCATTCTTGTATATTAATTTGAGCACGAAGTAGCTTTTGTATAAATTATAAACAGGAGAAATTAGAATACCAAACTCACTTACCTAACTGGTCCTGATCTCCAACTAAAACTTTCCAGCTTCCTACCAAAGAAGTGTCTTTAATTTTCTCCTGTACATTATGAACCCAATGCTCACTATTAACAGAAATATGATATGATGATTTTCAAACTAAAGAACACAATAAACTATGTTGGCATTTAAAAATTTACACCAGCAACAAAAGAAACCAAAACCATCATCAACTAATGATAAGCTTAATTTAGTGAGAAACATAATTAGGTTAGATTATCAGTGCAAGCATTGAAGTGACATAGATTTATGACAAATTTACTTACATACATCCTAATTTAGGTTAGATTATCAGTGCAAGTGTTGAAGTAACATAGATTTATGACAATTTTACTTGCATACATCCTCATTTGATTTGTGATAATATTTAACATTCAATCTTTTCTTTCAATATAATTTTTCATTTTCAAAATACAAAAAACTTTATGAACTTAAGTGACAAATGTTATGATTTTTCAACACCATGTCCAACACTTGTAGCACACACACAGAGTAGCTTTGCACTAAAACAAACACACATCTACACAATAGAATTACATAATTTTTAATGACGTTAATCTGTCAACCGCTAGTGTTGCTTTATTTTTCCCTTTAACTAAGTATATTATCTTCTATACTCTGAAAAATGAGTGGAGATCTCTTATGACACAGACCTCAAAAGCTAAAGAAAATTTATATTATACTTACTAGCCTTTTAAATACAGTTCAGTAGAGCACGGCTTGATGTCATGAACTGTTCAAAAATATTTTTTAAGGTTGGTAATTAACATCCAGAATAAAAAAGCAACAATAATTCAAATCAACATCAGCTTCAATATTCCAATACACTACCAATATTCCAAGCTAACTTTTCACTTACTATATATTTGTAAAATGCTTTTAATATTCAACCATGGAAACAGAAGTAAAGCAAATAGAAACTTTTCCAGCCATGAAACTTTGGAACTAAACAAAATAATTAAAATTGTGAAACATGAGCAAGCATGAAAAAATGTTTTCTTAATTATTTTAAGATAAATAATCTTCAATCTCCCTAAAGATGAAAGAAAGAGTACAGGAAAGAAATATCTTTAATATCCAATGTTAGATGTTCATTTTTTTGCATATGGTATTCCACAATACAGAAAACTTAAAACATGATGATTACAGCAAGAAGTTCATGGATATAATATGAGGAAGTGCAGGTGTGGTGATCTATCACCAGTTGAATAAAAGACAAAAATTTGGTGCAAAGATGAACAAAATAAAGCTAAAACTTGACTAACAGGAACATTAGAAAGGTTAGAACAGTGGATGATGGTCTGGTGGCAAAAATTGGTGGTGTAGTTGTTGATTGAAATCAAACAGAAAAAAAAAAAGACTGTATCCACATAGAAGAAAATAAAATAAATTAGACCTGAAAATGAAAATGCAAGTAATAAAAATTGAAAACAAAACATATAGACAGCAAATAGTAAATAAGAAGTAGAAAACATGGAAAAAAGACTTCAGAATATATTCCGACTTTCTCAAACTTCAAACAAAATCTGTCTGACAGTGCTAAAACTGCTTTTATCAGCCACACATTCTCTCTATAACTGACCAATCATAAAACATCAGGCTTTACATAATCTGAGAAATAGTGATGTGAGATACATACCAGAATAAACAGATGCAGGAAGGATTCATCCCAGACCTACATCTTGAGGAGAACCCAAGACCCGTCTGGCTGACCTAACCATTTGGTATGGTTTGGTTCTTAGTGAAGAGGTTTGCCTGTACTGTGGTTCCAGATGATATATATATACACACATGCAATTATACTGTCAAAAAGGTCTGATGAGCAACTTCATCTAAAGAGCGGGCATGAACAGGGGCAGATGGGCTTAACATTTTCTGTTATCCTCCACTCAATGCCAATTTCAATTTTCTCCATAGTGTAGACATGTAAACTGAATGAGGTGGTCGTGAGACTTGCAAAAAAAAAAAGGAGAAAAAGTTAATAGTTTTTGAACATCTCTGTAAAAGGTGGAAAGTGGTGACTGGAGGGAGATTAAACCCAGGAGTACATGAGACCACAATGTAGTGCAAGTAATGGGACACAAAGGTGTCAGGGTCATCCACATCCCCAACTGCAAGATCTCATCCCAAGGACATCTATAACTAAAGACAAGAAAAGCCATGAGATCACAAAATAGATGGGAGAAGACATGAAAAAGATGTAAAGTGTCATCACCCACAGAAGAATAAACCATCTGAAAGAAACAGAGTAGATAAAGCCCAAATATAGCATAAGTAATGTGACAGAAAAGTGTTGGAATTGTCTACATCCAGGGGACATTGATGGCTAAAAGCAAAATAACCTGAGAGATGATGAACTGGATAGAAGTAGACATGAAAAAATTAAATGTGTCCTCACCCACAGAAGAATAAACCAGCAGGATAAGTGTATAACCCAACCAACCAATGTGAAAACAGATAAGTCACTAGAGGCAAAGGAGATCCCATGACAAGAAAAAACATTGTCAAATATCTTGCAAAGGGGCAGTTCAAGTGAGAAAACAACAAATAGACCATACAGGACAAAGGAGACAATTAGGATCTCTATGACTGTAAAGGAAATGAGTAATTGGAGAAAATGTAAAAAAAATAGAGACTGAACCAGTCCAGACTCGGAACATTCACTGCCAGAATTGTAGTGTGGCACTTGAGATCAAAAGAGTGGAAGCTAGATGTTGAGGGGAGTCATAAATGCAGTAATGAAAGGACTACTCAAGTTGGAGCAGATCCAGTGAAAACATCAAAGGATGGAGAGACTTCTCTATGTGAAGGAACCAGTATAAGTGAGACAGTCAATCTGTCACCAGGGTCTAAGCTCCAAAGACATAATAGACTGACAACCAACCAATATGGTAGTTGTGGGTTCAAGAGTCCAGAGCAAAGAAAACAGATGACCCAAAAGCAAGGGCCTCTCTGCTGATGAATAGAATGAATCAAGATAAGAAGGCTGTATAGATGAGTTAGAAGATGATGGCCAGCTCTAGGATGTTTATATAGAGACACCACCACTCTGGAAACCAAACTCCATAAATGTGTCTAGAATTGGGTAAAGTATGACTGGTTGACAAGTTTTGTTTGTAGGTTTAGCTATTGCCTACAATCATATTAGTCAGTATATCTCTCAAATCAGCCAGAGTCCACAAAAGAGGACACATATGGTCGTGACCAAAAAGAAGAGAATCACCAAAAAGAGAAAATTCCTCTCATGCAGAAAAATAAATTACAAGAGTCTTGGTATCAGAAGAAGCTCCATATCTCAAAGAGATGAAAGAGAAGGCTCAACTTGTTCCACATATCAATTGAGAAAGACCTCCAAGTGAATGATATACTGGGTTGGGGTTAAGACTGAATCAGAGAGTTGCACCAGCCACCCCAACAAGATGAGTCTCTAAGGAGAAGGGAAGTTATGATAGTGGGTACCACACTGGATGGGGGAAGTAAAGGGCAAATATCTATAGAGTAGTGGAAAATAAGGCCTGTAGAATGCAAACAACTTCCATGCAAAATCACACCAAACTGAATTGAAAATATAAAGAGCCATATCCAACAAGAATGAAAGAACTGTGAATAGAATATTCAAACATTGTAGATGAACTGAAGGAAAGCATAAAGTGGGTGGTCAAATTGGGATGTGAAGAAAGCATCTGAGACATTGATCCTGGTCATTCTCTTCTTGAGCATACCCACTTCAGTGTGAAAAATGTCCACTTTGAACCAAATAACAACCAAAGCTGGTTCAAGTGGAATAAACCTATGACAGAGTGCCAATCTCCCATCATCATGGGAATAAATAATAATAAAAAAAAAGATGGAAGTAGAACCTCAGAGTTGGATTGAGAAATTGTTCCACAGTATTCTAACTGGGTGAGGAGGGGAGAAAACCTCTCAGAAAGCATCTGAATAACCCAGCAGTTTGTGGCAAAGGAAAACCACAGGTGTACAAAGTGAAAGAGCTGAGCCACAACTAGACTGGAGCTGAGGGGTGGTTCCAGAAACAAGTTGCCTCCAAAACCAATAATAACTAGGCTTCAGAAAAGTGTGTGGGACATTGGAGAGTAACAAAAGGACTAGGAATGGGAGATGGGGCCAAGTGGGGCCCAAAATCCAAAAAAGTCAAAGTGAGAAGAAATGACTACTGATGAGCTGCATCAGATCAAGATTCTATAATATAAGAAGCACCTCCCAAAAAAACATCACCACAAAGAAAGATACAATAAAGAAGACTGGGGGAGATAAGCATTAGAAAAGAAAGTAATCTGATGAAGTAGCTTCCAAAAAATGTGAACAGGGACATAATGAAAAAATAAAATCTAGGCCAAGATGGAAAATGGGTATGTGCAAGTTGACAGAATCATTATGTAAAGCCTCTAAAAGTAGGTAAACCATGGATAAATGGCAAAGAAAATAAATAAGAGACAAAGACAAGTAAATGGAGAGTTAAAGAAAGAAAAAGAGGAAAAAGATTAGATCCTTCAGACAAAAGAAGAGATTCAAGTAGTTGAGGCTCATGTAACAAGGTCACCCTGGATTTATCAAAAAACAACTGGAGAAACAGAAGACACATACCTGTGTAATCCAAGCAGTAAAGAAAAAAGATGGGATTATCTGATCCTTGTCAGGAAGATGGAACCAGAAACAAAAGTAACCATGAAAACAACATTGATCAAACCTGTCTAAAGATGAAGTAGGTGCAATTGAAGTAAAAGAAGCAGGAGGTTGGGAATCTTGGATTCAAGATCAAAATGCCATTATGCTGGGTAAAAACAACAGGGAATTGTACAGTCAAATAAATCTTATCACAGACACTGTAACACATGTCCCAATGTGCAAATTTGATGAAAAGAAAAAAAAATCAAGTTTAAGATAATAGTCTTGGCAGTGTAATGAAAGAAAGAAAAAGATTTTGGCGTTCTGTTTCACCAGTCTCTTTAGCCATCTAAGCAATGTGTTGTAGCTAGTGGCAGGACAAATAGGATTTTAGGGTGAATCTACATAAAAAATGAGAAATCTGAAAAGGTTATGTCACTGAACAAGTCATTGGTTTGGACACATTTGGAGTTCTTGTGCTCTTACATTAAAAAGGTTTGTTTGTAGTTAAGCTACTTTTTGTCTGTAAACCATTGTTCTGAAGCCTCCTACTGATCGAATCCACACACCGCACTTTTGAAGATAAGCATCAGGGAAGAGAAACAAACCAGAAGGGGAGGAGGAAGTGATAAATCTGACGTTATGGGGGATATGTTCAACCACCAACACATATAGTCGAAAAAGGAGTGATGAAAGTTAAGAAAAAAATTCAAAGGAACCCTATAAAGAAACCATGTGTAATGCAGTGTCTCCTGAAAAGATTGCGAATGTGCTAGACACAAAGGGAGAAGTGCTCCCATACAAATTAAACCCCCCAATGTGCTAGAACCTCACTAGTAGTAAGACAGTGAACCGTAATGGCTTGGATAACAGAAAACTCCATCGAATGCATTCACAGAGGAAAATGGATGGTTCCAATGTTTAAAAATATACTCCCCAAAGAGACTAGAATGTGAGATATGGAACAGGAAAATTTTATCCAACTGGAAAATCCAACTACCCATGCTAACTGTGGAAGGAGTAGATGAATATTGGGAAAAGTTTTGCAGACCCCGACTCAAGGATTCCACACAAACCAAGTTAGTATGAAGTATAAAAGATAAATAATAATGAAAATGAAATATAGACATTATTTTGTAAAATTAAGTAAGTATGTATTAACATTAATGTATGTATGAGACGTGATGTATGGAAGAAAAACAATATATTAAATTATTGATTGATATACCAGTAAGATGAATAACAGGTAATCCTGAAATAACAAAGACCCATGGTAAGCCTAATCGAATGGTATATGACAAAGGATACAACAAAGCCTAATTTTTGAACCTGAACTTAGCTACGAGCATCCACCAAGCTAACGAAACTTATGTTATGGAACTCAAATAACTACAAATAATAATAATATTAATAATAAAAGTAATCAAAACCACAACAGTATAATGTCTTTATCTTTCCAAAGTCGGTGGACTGTAGTTCAAAATGTGTGGGACTCCAAACTCGAGTCAAGGACCAACGAAGTAAAGCTCATAATTTCCTTGTGGAGTACCATTACCTGAAGCCTGTGTAAATGTGCTAATAGAACATATAACCTCCAAAGCAGTAATTCAGAATGAATAACCAAACACAACTGTGTTGGCAGAATGAAATATAAAATAATTCCACGTCGGAATAACTCAACAAGTTACAAATATCACCATTGTATAATAAACAGTAAACTTGTTGAGAGAAATTGATAGAAAGATAAAGAAAAAAGATTGAAGGGAGCACAAACTAAATGTTAAAACATGACTACTGCCAAATGAGAACTGATGGTTTGATAGAATCAAACAGAGGGATTTACATGCGTCAGGAGAGTGTATCACACTGTTATTGGAGAAGGGCTGTCACATGATGATTTGCATGAGACACACATTTGAATCAGTCAATTGTAAGGTACATGGATTCTCAAGGCTTGTGGCATGCAGAAAAAAAAGTTTGAATATACAAGGTAGCACTGAACAAGAATTGCTATTTATGTAAGTGGGAACACTATTTATATTCATAAGTGATAAAACAATAATTCTACAATTATATTTCATTTCATATATTTTCAATCATTTGAGGAATTTCTTTTTCACACATTGTTTTTATATACCTTAAAGACATTTGTATTAAGTGAGATGTTTTTAAGTCAGAATTTATTTATTGCTTTTTCAATCAAATTAAACTATGATCCTTTTCTATAAAACGAATAACTGAATCATATAAACGTTTTTTAACTTTCATAAACCTCTCACTGTGTATTGCACATGCACACCTGCTAGCATTATCTAGTTGTAAAATAATTAGTGAAAAGTGTATAAAAAAGAAGTGTTGACACATAAAATGAATAAATTAACCATATAAATGGTTTTTAACTTTCATAAAATGTTGACAGTTCTTTATTAAAGACAAAATATTAATTATATACTTAATTACCTAGAGTATTGCAACAGCACCCACCATCTTGTAATAGGCTCATTTTAATCAAAACTACATGTGAATCACATAGTGCAATACTGCCAGTTGGATTCAAAATGCCACAAGGAAAGGAGTTCATGAATCTATAAAGAGGAATGTTAATGAATGCTGCAATGGTTGTGTGATTGTAAGTTAGACATTTCAACCAAACATACCTAATCACACACACTGTGTAACATACTGAAAAACTGTTTGATGTCATAATATGGAATGCAGGCCTAACCATACAAATTAAGTCATGCCTCAATCTATACAAATCTTGTTGTGGAAATAATTATGCATCTGACCTTACATCTATGATCTAGGCCTTTAACCCTCTCCAGACAGGTCACGGTCAAAGGCCATGTCATCGCATTTGTTGACTAACATTCAAATTTTATTGAACTACAATTTCACTAATTTATGTCAATAAGCTTGGCATCAAACTATAGATTATAACTAAAATTTTAGTATTATACATTACTTAGTTTTTAAATTTAAAAGTAAATATTAAAAAACAGTTACACATCGATTTTTGTGTGTCACGTGGTATGTTGAATGCAACACTGGTTCAAATAAAATGTTTGTGATATCAAAATACTAAGTCTACAGTTTTGTACGAATTAGGAACTCAAGTTACTGATATTGACAAACTAGAATATAAAATAAGAACCTCATATCTTTTTTATTTGCTGAATGTACTGAATCACACACAGTGGCCTTGCTCTTCTCTTTCTATTTTTGGAAACAGTTTCTTATATACACAAACTTCAATATATGACACATGAATAACCAATCAAAAGCTCAGAATATCTCCCTTGTGGCTTTCTCATCCACTTTAATGTGTTAGGATGCCATCTTGTTCTTTTGAACCAAGACTTAAAATAGGTAAGTTATGCCTTTAGTCTGCTCAAACTTTCATATTTTTTAGACCCAAATATAGCTTAGTTACTGAGCTTGATAAATTATAGTCAAATTCAATGGTATTGATATAGTAATTTATGATTTTTTGGTTATTCAACTGTATATATAAAACCTAAAAAAATTATTTCATTTCATATCCTCCATGTGCAAAATTTTAAAAGGCTCAGGAACCTAAGTCAAGCAGCAACTGAGTACAAAGGTTGTAACTAGAAGATATAATAGTTTGATTTACTTCTTTATTTACTGGTCTATGTTTTAAGAAAAATAATTCTAAGACCTTATTTCTAAATAGTATTAATTTATATACATATATAAAAATACTAGTCTACTGAAATACAAATAAGATAGGTCATTTTGTAAAGACTAAACGTCAGTTTTATATTATTGGATACGGTAACATGAGAGCACATGTGCCACATCATTGTAACTTCTGTATCGTCAGCCAGGCATGACTGGAAGGTCAGTATAATAAAAAAAATGTATAATGTTATGAGAAATAAGCTATTTTATCTAAACATTTATATTTTCGTGTTGTCATTTTAGAAAGAAAGAGGCATACTTAATGTTTATTTCCTAATTTTTTTATGGTGGTTATGAGATTTTTTTAAATCTAATGAACCCGTGCAGAGATTCATTACTGAAAATAACAGATAAAATATAAAGTTTTTTACTTAAGAAATGTTTAATAACTATCTGGACATTATAAAGATTTTGCATGTGAAATTTGAAAATTTTCTAATGCATAAAGGTGTTTCTAATCTTAAAATGAAAATTATTTTGAATGTTGGATGGGCAACATGCAAAAAAAAAAAGCATGAGAAAAACATTGCTTAACAAACCTTAATTTCGTGTATGAAAGCATTGTAATGTTTACTGATAATCTGCCTAATTTCGTTAACATACACGTACTAATTTAAAAGTTATAGCATGAATACTATAACAGGCACAAAATGGTTACAAAGTCTGTTCCAGGGACCAAGCCCATGCTGAAAGAGTTAAATTAATTATAAATTAAGCTCTGCAGGCCAGTAAAACCACTGGGTGATAGGAGCTCCATAGGCATATTTTATAGCTCGGCTTACAACTCAACCCATAAGGTACTTGTCATGACTAAAATACAGAATGCATTGGTTCTTATGGCACCTTGAGCATTGAAATGTTGATGAAAAACAGTGTAAAAATCATCATTTGAAGTGATTAATTGTGCTACTCACCATATGCTTTGAATGGATATGGCTGGGTTTGGTGGCAAAATGGAGAATGCTTTAGACATAAACATGAAATCCCAACTCTGACAATTATCGAGTGTTGCTTCAACACTTTGGTAATACAGTATAAATTATCTTTTTACAGCTACCATGTCACTGAAATTATTATATGTACTAACTTTAATTTGCATAAAATAATTTAATGATTGTAATTTCTTAATTACATAAGCTTTTGTCCAATAAGTGGTATAGCTTCTTCCAAAAAATAACCATTCACACTTTTAACTTAAAGAAAACCTATGATGCATATGCTATAATTTTATTGTTTTATTTTTAAGTAAATCACATAGCATATTTCGTTTTGGTTTTATAATTCTATAATCTATAACTTACTTTGAAGTTCATAGACTAAATCAGAATCAGATAAAAGTCTAGAATGGGAATCCTTTCCTGGGTCAATTGTTCTGACATGAAGAAACTTATTCCACCATCCTTCATTGGCTTCATTTGATTGGCTAATACTAATACTCCTGTGTATGAAGGCAAATATACAGGTAAAAAGAGAAAGTAAATATTAACTGTGCAAATATGCATAAGACATTTCTTCAAACTAAACAAATTATTCAACTACTGTAATACTCTTAAACTTGTTAGTCTCCATATATAAATACTGAAGCTATTGTATTAAGTACAAACTTGTTAGTTTAATTATTAAAATATCTAACAAATGTGTTAATAACAGCAATACTTATCAAAGAAAAAGCTTACCTATAACACGTTACCTATAATATCATACAAAACTGAGAAAGCTTCAAGCTTTGTTTATATTTGTTGATACACTATTCCTACTCACTAAGTCTAAGAAACTAGATGTATTTGCACATGAAAATATTTGTCTATTTTAAATTTCAGACCTCCTTGTTGTAGATGTTAAAATACCATGTTCAGGTTTTGAACTGCAGCATTCCAAAGATTGACACATAACACAGGCTGAACAGAAACACATGAAAGTAAGGCAAATTTTCTTGAGTTCCAAAGAGTTTAGTCCTGCAGATATTGTAGTTAGAAATGTAAGATCTCCCTTTATTATGTCCATTTTGGTTTTCTTTTATATCATATTTCATTATATGAGTTTACACAGCTTCTTTCTAGTTGGCCTTCCCAACTGGGAATGCATGGTCCATCCATATTCCTTTAGTTATGACCAATGAGAGTAAACATGTTGCATGGATTAAATAAAAAAAAAACAATTCATGAGGAAATGCAACTTTACATGAGGGAATGTAATCTTCCTGACAACTTTCCCTTGAGTGAATGTAATTTTATTTCATTATTTCTATCTCTGGATCTGCTTTTACAGGTCTCACCAAAAAGCATCAAAATACTTATTTTTATAAAATAGTCAGCAAGATGAAAGTAGTAGATTTAAGGCCAAAAATGTAGGCTTACAGGACTGATTAAATAATTAAGAATGTATTCAACAATCTCCATTCTCCAGTTCTTGATATTTACCTATGTTACTAACATTAACCCCATAACTGCTAGAGATAATTCCAAACATCTCCCATAATATCTCAATTTAATAATAACTTTCTCTGCCTTGTCCCCAAGGCCTTAAAACAATCTAATTTACTAAAAAACATCAAAATATTTCACTCATTTACAAATACAAAATTTTAGTAGACCAAAGTTCAATAATTATATTCAGGTCCTACTAAATAAGGTTATGAATTGTCAAGAACTATCAATGAAAAGGAAAATAGCCCATTACTTTGACAACTCATAAGTCAACTATTTGCAAATCAAGGCTCACTTAGTTATTTGTTACTATAGTAAAAGCCAACATATGACATGGGTATCTGCAGAAATGTTTCCAAGAAAGGGTAAAGTTTTCCAGGGGGGGGGGGGGAGAAAAGTAGTGTGAAATTGTGAATTGAATAAAAAAAATTCATATACACATGTGAACACTCATGCATATGCAGCTGATGACTCATTATTTTAAAGCCATAACCCTACACACCTCAAAGCCCTCCAATGGGCTGTTGTAGCCCGTTACTTGAGAAACACTGCCATAAGCTATGGCTTCCATAGCCTGTAAACCTTCCCAAAGGTGAAAATAATCATGCATATGAGGCTAATAAACAAATATATGAGGTCATTAAGCAAAAAAAATCATTGAAATGAAATATTTCTTATAAACAGTCAGTACAATCATAAAACTATTAAAAGTTCAATAATTATACTCACTTCTCATTGCTTATAAATGTAGTTATGCCTCTTGATCAATATAGTAGATCTCTAACAATATCATACATAACACTTTAGTCTGCTACAGTTTCATATCCCTAAATATGTCAAATATTTCCATGTTTTTAAGTAACTTGGACTGTTTAAAGACACTACTCTCTCATATCACTGACATTTTACTAAAATAAATGCCTTAACACTTACTGTAGCAAATTAGTGAATCCAGGTTTTACAGTTTTGATAATTTAAAGTTCTATGTTTTATAATTTTTTTCACTTAATTGATTTAAGTGATAATCCAAAATGTAGGCTTCTGATGTGCTTTTAGGGACTTTTCTTGCATGGTGTAACAGAACTACCAACACTCATGCATAAAATATGAGACTCTTGCAACTGGTCCTATTTTCACACAAACAACCATAAGTATAAAAATCTCACATTTTGGTCAAATTAGTGGCTAATTATAATGGCTGAATTTTAAATTCTGCAATACATGATTTTTCAGCACTCAAAACACTTTAGCATGTACTACAATTTTACTTTTCAAAAGTCTCACTCAAACAGAATCCTAAAAGTTGGTAGGCCTGGTGTAGTATTAGTAGAAAATGACAAAAGAATGGTGATAACTTAAATAAAACCTGTGATAGTTTTTCCAGGCTAAACTATGTTGTTCCAACTATCAACCACAAGATATATCATAACAGTAAACTTAAAGGATAGCAAGGGACCTTTTGGTCAACCTAGGTTGTTCTATCCACTATATTAAACTAAACTGTTAAATAAATAAATAAAAACCTCAAAGCCAGCCCTTATGGTTCAAATATTTATCATGCTTTCCATTAAATTAACTGCATCTACTATACCTGAAGGCAACTCATTCCAGAAGCCAATCATCCTGTTAGTGTAAGAAAAATAACAGTGTTTTAGCTGAAAATGTTTGTGTCCCCTAGTCTTACCATTAAGTACGAAAAAAATGCATCAACACAGTCAACTCTCTTAACAATCTTAAACACCTCAATCAAATACTCTCTAACTCTTCTTCTCTAAAAAAAACAAGTTCAGAGATCTTAACCTATCCTCATATAATAACATTTCCATCCCAGATATCATCCTAGTACTACCAGTAGTAGCCCTTCTCTGAACCCTTTCCACTAATTCAATGTTCTTTCTGAGGTCAACTGTAAGGAGCACAAGACGGAGCACAATACTCCAAATGTGGCATAACCAATGACCTATACAATGACATTATTACCTCTTTGGACTTATACTCAATATTACTATAAATACAACCTAAAATCCTATTTGCCCTGCAACTATCAACAGTACATTTCTTGGACGGCTTGATAATAGACTGATCTTTCAGAACACCAAAATGTTTGACTTCCACAATATTTTTACTACTAATAGTAATAATACTATTATTACTAGTGTTACTGTTAGTGTTAAGAGTATTCCCATGAAAATTGGACTCATAATTCAAGATGTGAGTGTGATATCCCACATGCATTACCTAGCATTTAGTATCATTAAAAGCCATCTGCTATGTACTCGTGCACCTCACCAAATAATCCAAATCATTTTATAACTTGTAATTGTAAGGCAGTAACATCCTCCTCAGATGACTTTAAACTAATCTATTGACATTTCCTTCATCAGTTAAGATAAATCTCTCCCATGCTATAACCAGTATTTCCAAAAATATTATCATACAACAAATTAAATTAAAATTGAAGCATACCTTGATATTAATGAACAAAATCTCGGAATACTCTTAAAACCCTTCAAGTTCAACTTCATGGAACTAGTAGCTGCAGACGCCATTCTCAACTTTTTTACTGCTTCTGTATGTTCGTGCGACACTAGTGTTTAAACAAACAAAAAAAAAAAAAAAAATGCGTAGCTTT